CCCCTCTGCTCTTCTAAATACCATCTTCCACGGTCTCCTCTATTGTTATTGTTCTATTGTTGTAATTATAATTGTGTCCTATCTTGTGAAATCTTCTTATTTATTGTTGTAGTCTTCTTATTTATTGTTATTGTCATCCTGTAAAGCCCTTTGAGAAGCCACCTTTAAAGGCGCTATATAAAATAAAGTTTATTATTATTATTATTATTATTATTATTATTATATTCTTAGTGTTCTGGGGTTTTGGGCAGCTGCTATGCTAGTAACAGCATGTTCTATTTCTGTTTCCTCTGGCTGTCATGTTGAGAGGGGTTTGTGAATAATTAAGTCAGTCTAATTCCCATTTTTAGACACCTCTTTTTCTGTATACCACATACAGTATATAGACAGATACATTTCTATTAGACCCCAGTAAACAACCACCGGGAAAAAAAATCCTGCTGTTCCACAGACTGAAAAAAAAAAATATTCTAGATGCACGCAACAGGATACACTACCTGCTCGATAATAAAAATAAATACAAACACCATCAGAACAAACGTGAGATTAAAGTTACGGTCACTGAAATTTCAGGTCTCGGTGATAATTAACATATTATCAAAATTCTGAGCTGACACCACCCCTGGTCATTAAAAGTCAGGTATTAAATAGGAATGAGGAAAAAAACACAACTCAGGCTTTGTCTAATTCACGTGCAAAGAAATAACAAGGGATCACCACGGAGCACATTGTTCTGATAAATACGTAAAACTGTTGAAGTTTTTTTTATTTTAAAAAGTCCCAGATGGGTAGCTGTAGTAGTTTGTTATTATAATAAATGATCTCACTGGGTATTTGAGGTGTTTTTTTTATATTTGTCGACATTTCATTTTCAATTTCTTTGATGATTTGGCCCAGAGGTATATGAGATATACTGTAGTAACGATGACTAATCAGTCATATGAACCGCTGTGTTGTTAGTGTTGATACACTAGATAGTGTTGTAACATGAGCATGTAAATGAATGAAATATATGTCTGTAGTAGAATTATTATTATTTAAGTTTTATCTTCTCAGCATTTCTGCTGGTTGCTATTGACCAGGGTTTCACCGGATGCCTTAGGTCCTGCTATTGTCCGATGGGCAGGACTTTGAGGAGTATGTGGACTGTTCCTATGAGAGCGATCTTCTGCACCTGAGCCGCATTCACTTTGCCCTGCAGGTCATCGAGGTAGTTTTTAAATCCGAGTGGAGTACTTCCAAGAGCACCGACTACGACTGGGATCACACGTGCCTTTGTGATATATTATTATTGTAGCGCCACGCAGGGCGCGTTAGCTAAGCGCACCCCAGGCCGACTAAGAACAGCGCCTGGCTGCGGTACTACTGGACGGTGTATAGATGGGCGGAGGCTGGGAGACGGTCTCTTCCCTTCGTGTGTGTATGTGTGTTAGTGTAGGTGCAGCGCTGTAATCCCTGTCCCCTGTATGTGTACCTTTCCCGATTCGAGTTAATAAACGTGTTGTTCAACCCCATTCCCTGAGTTCCATGCCTGCTCATTTCCGTACTGAAGCCCGCGGTCGTTATATTATTATTATTATTATTATTATTATTATTATTATTATTATTATTATTATTAAACGTGATTTTTTAATAAAAAAATTGTTTTTTCAGACTCTCGCTTCATTTGTAAATATTGGCAATAGATCCCTCTTAGTTTGAAAACGTAAGCACAAGCATTGATTCAAAGCGACAAGCAAAAAAGCAACATTACTGTCTTATCTAATGCATTCTTTGATTAAAACTATTTTTGTTACAGGTACAGTATGTAATATAAAATATGAAAAAAACAAATGATATAATGGCTCTGTGGGTAAGGATCTGTGCCTGTGGCTGGAAGGTTGCCGGTTCAAATCTTGCAGCTGGCAGAGGAATCCTACTCTGTTGGGCCCCTGAGCAGGGCCCTTAACCCCAACTGCTCCAAGAGTACCGTATAAATGGCTGACCCTGCGCTCTGACCCCAGGCTCTCTCCCCATCTGTGTGTCTAATGGAGAGCAAGCTGGGGTATGTGAAAAGACAAGTTTCTAATGCAAGAAATTGTATAGGGTTAATAAAGTGATGTTATGTTAAAGGTATAAGCCCTGTTTTTTATTTCATACTGAAATCGTAGAATGTTAATGTTGTGCCATGGTGCATTCAGCTGTAACATGTGGCAGCATGTGACAGTGTGAGTCTGGAAATCTCTTCCTTTTCTCGCTTTCTATCAAGGTTATCATATTATGAGTCAGTCTGGCTCACGAGACGTTCAGCTTTTTCTCAAGTAACCAATGTTTTAATAAATAATATTTAACCTATAAAGGCTTCATAGTTAAAACTGTTCAATGTTCTAAAAATAATGTAGAGAACTACTCAAAAGCTTAACAAACTAAAAAACAAAATAACCATAGATACAGTATCACTTCATATCTTTCTTCAGGAAATTGCTTTCGCTTATTTAATTGGATTCACAGATTCACAATCCAGGCCACTCGTAAAACATTAAATTGAAATACTGTACTCAGAACACCTGTTTTGGTCAATGAAGTAAATTTATTGATTCAAGTGCTGTAAGTCAAAAATGTTGTCCTTATTACAAATAATAATAATTAGAAATGGCTGATTCAAGGGTGATATATAAAACTTGCTGGTTTGTGTAGCCTCACCTGTATCAGAGTTTTCAAAGACGTTGCCTACTCTATTACAGAGCAGCATTGGATTTTAAAAAAAAAGTACTCTTTCTGGAAAGCACTGTACATGAAACATTCAAAGGTTAAAAGATAAATTATCTCAATGAGGTCTAAAAAACTCGTAGTCTTTTATTAATAGTAATAATACTGACACTTAGTGCTTTCTGGACACTCTGCTCAAAGCACTTTACAGGTAATGGGGAGTCCCCTCCACCACCAATGTGCAGCCCCACCTGGATGATGCCACTGCAGCCATAGTGCACCAGTACAATCACTGCACACCAGTTATCAGTGGGAATAGAGTAATTCCCATAAATGGAGATTAAGAAGAACGCCTTTGTACTGTACCTCATGTTGGACATACAGTATAGCATGAGGTCATACACATAAGACTGCTTCCCCAGACATGTGAAGCTAAAAACAAAAACTAAAAAATCATGTGGGATTTTTTTTTTATTTCAAAGCTGTGATGAGCACATGACAGGAGTTTTGGAATATAAATGGAGGGTACCTGATTTTAAAACATTTTGGATCACTGACAGAGTCAAGAGAACAAGGGGACATGAATTTCCAGCTGATCCTGAGCGCACTTGGGCTTTTTCTCCTTCTGGCTGAAAGTAAGGACATACTGTAACAGCAACTTTTTGTCTTGTTTGGATATTACACATATTTTGTGATGAATCTATAAACATTCTCAGAATTATGTCTATGAAAACACGCACCAAATGTTTCCAAGATTACAATTTTAGAATATGTTTTAAATGATCTTGTTAATTGTAGGTATGTGGTTGAAAATAGAGTAAAAAGATGCACGTAAAACACCAATGTGTGTAAAAAGATTTGGGTTGGTTTGATTTTTAAACGTATTAACATTTCCATTGTGATAACAGTTCTGATGTAAATATCGTCATTATCCAAATGTACATGTAGCAACTGTATGTACAGTGAAGAAGTTGTTCTATTAGTCAGTTAAAAACAGAAAGAAAACCTTTTGTTCAATTTAAATTCAGAACGTCATGTTTAATAATTGCAGTACTACCATGTTTTTAAAACAAACATCTATATGACAGTATCTCCAATACTGTAAATATGATATATTTTAATAATAATATACAAACTATTAAAAGGCCTTTATATATTTTATGATGGGCATGAAATTAATTAAATTAAATGTGGTGTTGCTTGGCAATGGCACTGCCTTACAGCACTGGGGCCCTGGGGTCAAATTCTGGGGTGCTCTCTGAGTGGAGTTTGCACGTTCTCCTCGAGTTTGCATTGAGTTTGCTCCAGTTTTCTTCCACAGTCCAAAGACATGATTGTACGTGAACTACTGTAGCTTCTAGGAACATTGGCCTTAGTATGAGTGGGTGCATGGCTTTGTATGCAGCTACATGAATGTGTATCCTGTGATGGACTGGTGCCCCATCCAGGATGTATTCCACCTTGTGCTCTTTGCTTGCCCTTGTAACAGCGCATTGGATAAAGTGTTAAGAAAACGGATGGATAGAAGTTGTTACTTGGAATTAATTCATCTAAATACTCCGCAGTGATACCAGATTATTTCACAAAAATGAATGAAATAAATTATTCACTTTCTAAATATAGTAGCTGCATTTTCATAGGCATTAATACACAGTCAAAAAATATCTCTGTTCAGGTATGGAAATACTAGGGATGGACAAGCACTGCTTATGTATAAAGCATGAATCACGGTTCATCCCACTGAAGAGCATTAAGAAAATAGAAATCAGTCCTGCGGGGGCACATTGCAAGACCTTTGAGGTTATGTAAGTGGTAAAAACATCTTATCCTTCAAACTAATTCTTCATGGTATTGTTGTTGCAACCTTTTTCCTTTCAAAGCTTTTGTTTAAAAAAAGCAATTGATGGTTAAATGCATTTTTATATAAATATGTAACGCCTTTATTATAATTTAACAAGTGTTTTTTTTAAATTGTAGCAGTGTACCATAAGAATAAATTTGTTTTTTTTTGCGATAATATCAAGTCAGGATAGAGCATGTTACTGTATTGGTGCTTTTTTATTGTTACATCAGTGTGCAGAGTACAGTAAATGTCAGCATTTTGTATTACCCTTCTCACATATTTGATTCTTGCTCAAGAGTTAGATACTGTAAAATTGAGAAATTGTGGTTTTAATGGATTCTGTCGGGTTTGTGACTAACACAGAACAAAAAAAAATATGTATTTGCCTTTCCTATTCACAGTCATGAAAAAAGGAAAAGTTTGTGATCATGCACAGGATTTTATTACAAAAACCTAAAGAATCTAGTTAAATAGACAACCAGCATCAAAATGGTACTTAGAATTCCAATGTGGAGGATGCAAAATTGCATTACATGCCTTGCTGTTTATAAAACTATGATTAAAATACAATTCAATTCTTTTTTCAGTGCCAGGCTTGTAGCAGGGGAGAGTGTTTGCTTGAATCAGCGTGCATCTTGGGTGAAGAAAATCATTCAGCACATGTTTAGTCAGAAAAATCAGAAAAGGTAAATATGACCTTCTTTTGCTTATAACTTCACAGTGGTGTTTTACACTGGTCACAATTTCATAAAAACATCCCCTTATTTTCTTATACTGCAATTTCCTGTAAGGGCTGTATGCAAACTGTAGATTAAGCCTTATTGAAGGATGCATTTAATAGTGTGCAATGCCATAGGTATATCATTACTTCAACTGTAACAGACCGTCCCAAAGCCTTTAAATGTGGACGCATGCAGACACATGAATATCCATCCAATATTAGCCTTGGTGCTATGCATAGTGTAGTATCAATAATGCATGGGTATACTGTATATTTACATCTTCTTGCAGCAGTTTATTGCCTATATGTCAAATCAAATTGCATCACAGATATTGCCGCAATCAGCCTTATCTCTAAAGTCTAAACAGTAAAGAAAGGACAGCTTTCAACATGCAGTATGATAATATTACCATGCTTGCAAAGATTACAGGATATAATCACTCAGTTGTGGTTGGGCTCTTACCATCTTGGCCTTTGAGAGTACCTGGTGCTCTTTATTCATGTTGCTGCTGTAATTCCAGGCCGTCCTACAGTTGCTCTGAAAATGTTATATAATACGTCTTTATTCTGTGGTGTTCCTTTTACACCATCTCTCTCTTTTCTAAGTAATTTAATTAACTGTTCAATGTGCTTTCTGTTGGACTCTTGAAGAGTTTTTACACAGCCTGAATCATGAACTATAAGCACTCTTCAGGACAAAACTGAAGCGGACATTAACTGGATGCAATTTTTGTTGTATTGTTGTTGTCAATTAAACTGCAATAAAAGGCAATGTAGAAATGCAATACAAAAGATTATATTTAGTGATCCTTAAAATACATTGAAGTATATTTGAACATGTGTTCCTATCTTATAACCTTAGATCCATTGGATGATGGAAATATATAACATCTCAACAACAAGGAACAAAATCAACATTGTTTTTGAGTAGCCTGCATACATTATTTTATATTTTATAGTTTATGCTGAAAATGCTACAAAAGAATTGTTCTAGTTGAACACAGTTCAGCTGTGTTTAGAATGTACTGACCAAATGTAATGACTAAACCCTAAACAAAAAAAGTGCTTAACAGATATTATGATGTTCAGTGTGCGTAGACTGCAAAGGAACAAGTAATAGGTTTATTCCATGCTGAAAAGTGAAGAAAGGAAACAACATTTTGGATGTGGAGTATTTTCTATTATTTAACATTAATTAACTATGATAATTTATTGTCATTCATTCTGTTTTTAGGGAATATTACCTTAAATCTGCCCCAGCTTTGTTATTTATTTGCTGAAAACATGTTGAATTCTTTGTCATTGTCTAGTTTATGTAATCCTGTATAATGGAATAATTCTGAAAACATTCAAGTGTCCACAACGTTTCTAGTAAAAGCAGAGGTATTGTATGGTTGCTTGTGTATTAAACCTATCAGAATATATTGTGCTAGGATTGTTTTACTGTGGAACCATATCTGTAAAACGACAGAAAAATAATTTGTGAATTATTCAAATAAAGTGACTATAACATCAACATTTAAACTTTATTTTTGCTTGTGGAAGTTGATTTATGAGTGGCAATTTCTGGAAAGATTGTTTTATAAAATTGTAGCCTGGGCTGCCTGTCTTTCTATTTAGCTCATTACAGTAGCTTTAGGCCTTGGTACTGTATGTTGTTTTTAACCTCTATTACAGGAAACTGCAAATCCCAGACAAACACAATTTTCCCTGTTTGGACCAAGATGACTTTCCGTAAGTTAAGCTTTGCTTACACTTGCAAGTCTGGTGAAGTATAGCCTCATGACACTCCAGGAAATCACTTTTTTGCTCATTTGCGTCAGTGTTATCTCGGAATTATAAGTCTTCTGTCATTATCTGCCAGATATATAATACATACGGCTCTCATTAAATCAACTGCAAATCCATTTGAAAAATTATTCTGGCCATAATTTAAATGTCCTCCTCAACACCTGCAGTTTTTCTATTTAACTTTTCTGCAAAATGTGTGAATTTGACATTATGGAAATTTCTTTCTTGACTCTTTGGAGCCATTTGGCTTTTTTGTGTTTACAGAAGTAAGGTAGGAAATGAGAATTGAGAGTCTTGCCACAATTACTTTTCAAAATATTGCCGAAATATTGGGCTGTTTCTGCAGTTTGAAACCCCTGGTTAATTATGTACAAAGTTTCTTATAAGTACGAATAACTTCGTGTAAGAATACACCCTTTTTATTTGTTGAGAGCAACACAATAGTGTGTTTTATTGCCTTTCCAAAACCACAAACATTAAATGATAAATGTGTTTTTTAAATGCTTTTCATCTATATTTAAGTAATATGTAGCATCTGAATACAAGTTGAAATACAGATGTTTTGCAGTTCACAGAAATTGCACTTCTCATAAACTGATGAATCCTATTCATGGATATACTGTACAGTACATATTTCAAAGGTGTACTATATATCATGCTCAATCCCTGAATTTGTCATTTCTCAGAAAATAACATTTTGCAATTTGAGCAAAGACCAAAATGAATGAACTGAAAATGTTATTTTGGCATTTGTTTAAATTATTTTGCTCAAATTGTAAAATGCAATATACCAAATTGTCAAAAACAAAACACAAAAACTGACACAGGTGACCTGGTCTTGGTGTTAAGTGATACAGTCTAATCTGGAATTGTGCTGCAGTATATCCTCGCTTTATAACACAGCAGGAGGTGTCTGATATTGCTGAATTGGCCGTTAAATCCAGATGTCCTTAAAATAGCGTCTATATGAAACCAAATGTCCTTTAAGAACAAATGATATATTTTGAATATGTGAAAAACTACAAATTTCCCTGTATATGTTACATATCATGCATTATAAAATAATAAATAATAATAAATTACCCACCCTCTTTTAACAAGAAAAGAAAATGAACATGTAGTCTATGTAGAAGAGGAATCACTTTGCTCTTACTGTACACATACACCCTGAATTAGGAGGAGCAGTTGGGAAATGAATGGGTGGGTGTGTCTTTGGCACCTTTGATGTTTCAGCTTCTGTTTTATTGATGTTGTTCAGAACTGGGCATGGCGATTCCTGATTCTGAAACCTGTGAATATACTGAAATATATTTACGATTTCCTTTTCTTCAGCAGCGAAGTAATTAGTTGTCAGTTCTTAGACACATTACAGCATCCTTAATGTGGATTCTGCTGTTGCAGAAAAAAAATCTAGATTGTTTTCACCCTTAATTGCAATACTGTTGTCTTTATATGTATCTTAGCTTTTCAAATATTTGGGGGATTTAATTTTATTGCCCTTTTCTTATCAAATATGGGGTTTTAGGTCTACAGTAAGGGGTTTTAGGCTTTATAAATGACTCTTTCCCTTTTACTTGGAAGTTACTTAACAACTATTCTTACGCCATATCATGCAGCGTAGTTTATTGGGTGTGTTGAATGTTCTGAGTATGGGTAAGCAAATTTAAAAGGAGAACAATAAATATTGTAAAAATAGTAACCCTTGCCAACTGCATTTTTTAGGTCTTATTATTACTAATACATGATTTATAGCAATTTTATTGTCACAAATTCATGGAGAAGTCACTCACAGTAACATGGGCATCTTAAAAAGGTTGGTTTGGTCCAAAAGACCATGTACACAACACTGTAGGCCCTGGATTATGACTGATCCAATTGGATCAGTCAAAATGATATCATTAGCATAGGTTTTAGTTACATGAGTGGTCATTTGTTAATTTCTTAAAAAGATTACAGGTCAGAAGTCTGACCAGCCTACTTTCAGATACTGTACTTTTTCATCACAATTTAAAAGTGATGGTCATTACTCTGTTTAGTCAGTAAGCTAAACATCCTTATTAGGTGAACATAAAAATAACAAATTCTGTGTGTATCACAGATTCACACAGTTGTCTTCTGTACAGCTCATTTCACACCACACATACTTAACATTATCAATCTTTTTCACGGTTCCTATGGTTCCTAAAATGCCCAGCTATCTACATTGGGGAAGCAGGAAGGAGACTGGGAGACCACTTCAGGGAACATGTCAGGGTTGTGACGATCAAAGATCAAAGATCTCTCCAAGCCCATAGTTTCTCATTTCACCTCTAATGGCCATGATTACTGTATACTGATTTCCTCTCAACTCCCGGTTTTTGTTCTCCCATGCTTTAGAGATAAGATAAGATCACTTTATTGCCATATACAATTTCTTGTATTAGGAACTTGTCTTTTCACATACCCCCAGATTGCTCTCCATGAGACACACAGACACACAGACAGGGAGAGAAGCCTGGGGTCAGAGCGCAGGTTCAGCCATTTATACAGCACCCCTGTAGCAGGTTAAGGGCCTTTATTAACTGTTGACTCTTCTCACACCTGAAGAAGGCTCCTTAGCTGAAACGTTTTTTTTCTTCTCTTCTCTGTATGGAATAATAAACCTTTACTTTGTCCTAAGAATAACAAATGCAAGCTGTAGAATTAAAAGGCTTTGTCTGTAAAATGCCTAACTTTATTTTTCATTAATGTGATGAGACTGGTTGCTTTTTTCTGTCACTTTACTTTTCAACATCTTTTATGAGACTTTGATAGCCCTGATAAACCTTGCACAAATGTGATGTTTTGTCACTGTAATTGTCGCTTCGACAGATGCAAAACAAAATACCAGACTTTGCCACTTTGTGCAACAAAAATATGTTCAACAAAATAAAGATGTTTAGCTAGTATTTCCCAAAGCTCCAATACAAGAACGTAAGAGCATCATTAAGAAAAGTTACCAATGAGAGAAGGCCTGTCGTCTCCTTGGCCATGTAGTAGTTAGTAACTAATTGATCCCATTGATCCATTGTCTCATCCAGACATTTCTTATAAGAAGTCAGGGTATTGCATAGCATAGCTTCTGCATAGCTTTTCCACACTCCCAAAACCTTCTGACCACAATGGAATTTTTTCCACATCAATAGAAACGGGTGAACAACAAAACCAGGTCCCCTTCGGGACCAGAGCAGGAGACCAGGCTCTGTGCAGTATAGTATAATCACTTTATTCCAGCCTGCTCAAGATGTAGTGTAAAGGAAATGAAAAGCTATAATGCACATCCAAAGGAAACGTGTTTTAAACTTGTTGCCACAGACAAGCACTGTTTAAATAATACAGTATTTCATATGTATTTTTTTTTTCAGAATTAAGTGCTACTGTTCTTCCACAAAATTAACACTGATTATACCCATTAACCGGTATTCCAATTTCCTTGGAACGGTATGCTTTAAGGTTTTTTGATGTTAGTTTTTCTTGGCTGAGCTGATTTGGTCTGTTTCTACTCTGCTTGACATTTTCTTGTGAAGTCCCCTAGTCTCGAACTGCAAACACTCGTAAATTTAATTCCATTCTGAAGAAAAACAAAGCGTTGCACATCTGGAGCCCCTTCATGTGTGGGGTGTAATGAGGGAGCTATCAGGGATGTGTGATATAGGAGGACAAAGGAAAGGGTAGATTAATGCCAGGGGATGCGTGGAAGGAAGAACAATAAATGAATGGAGAGATTTAAAAATAAATTAATCATTCACTGAGAGCTGAAGGAAGCTGGGGTTGGAGTCTTTGAACCCCCATGAAAGGATACGGACAGAAAGGTCAGTGTCATCTGGTCCATAGAGGTGAAACAGAACACTTGGAGAGATCTCTGATCCTCACAGCCGTGTTACAGTCCCAAGGATGGTTGATTGGTCTTCTTCATCTTATGCCAGTGTCAATGGCAAAGCACAGGGGGGCCACGCATACAGTATATGTGTGTGCAGGCGATACAGGGACTTCTGATGCAGCAACAAGAGACTGGTTTGCATGGTGTCTGTGAACAGTTTAGAGAACTGTGAAGAGGAAGGCTGCATAAATTGGGTGGGTGGCAGTAGGAGATGACTGGAAGTTTGAGGAAAAAAAGCTGAAGGATCATCTTGTAAATGGAAGTTTTGTTCCATTACCTTGTTTCATTGACCGCAACAATATACAGAACACCAAGCGCTTGATGAAAACTGACCCATAATGCTCTCAGTTCTCCATAAGAACTCCATAAGGTCGCCATAAGCGTGTGACCAATAACAACCCAACGATGTAGGTATAATACTTGTATCAACATCATAATGTATGTGAAAAACAGGGTACCTACCTATGTAAACCAAGATAACTGCCACACTACCATTTATTTTTCTTTGTTCTTTATACACGGTCTTGTAACACTTACTCCTTCTAAATAAATAGGGTTAACAAGGTTATGAATAAGTAACTAAATTCCTGATTTAAATTCAAGCCCTTAAGCCAAAAATGTGTGTTGCTTTTTTTCTATCTTGCTCACCACTGCTATATCATCAGATTATACAAGTATTCTTGCCCCTTAAACATAAACTAGTACCAATTAGTAATGCACAGGGGATCTGTTTTAAACCCCAGCAAGGTTTCCTCAGTTATTTAACACCTGTGAGAACACTCCATCCATTGTCAAAGAACGTCAGGGTGATGACAAGCGAGAAGGGAACATATACATTTCACCTCTCAGCACAGACATGCTTGATTTCAAGCTGTTTGCCATGCCTCAGTTTCTCTATTATGTTTTAGAATTCTTGGCCAGCATCAATAGGGACACACCCATTGGTGTCTTACAAAATGCAACTTTGAGGCTTAGCTCTCCTTTTATTTTATGTGTGGATATTTGACTGCAATATCTGCTTAATTCTACACCGTGAGACATACTGCTAATATCTAAGCTGCTGACTTCCCTGTTGTCAGAGTGATTCACAAGGATTGACGGAAGTTGTCCTACAGGTGGGAGAATGATTATCGGAATGGTTTGGGAATTTTTCCTTCCTTGCTTATTTAAAATACAGAATCTAAAGGGATTTGGAAAAAAGGCCATTGAGTTGACCAACTGAGCAATTACCCACAATTCTATCTAATGTTGTTCTTGTTACACTTCCCTCTCTCCAGTATCAGCTGCTTTTAGTTTTCTCGATTATAACTAATAGATTAGCTTTATGGCCTTCATCCTGTTTGATACTTCTGCAAAGATAAAAAGTATATGATCACAATTAGTGTCATTCTGAATAGGTTATGTATTAATGATAACAATCAAAACATTGAGTTATGGACTTCTACTGTATATGTAGCATATTTTAACTAAAGATTCCAAAGTCTGTTTGGCTCTAAAAATGGTTTTGATCGCATTCATATTAACTGCAAAATGACTTGTGTGTTTCCAGACAAACTACAGTATGTCAATGTTTTTTTACAGTCTTATCTAAATATAACCACTCTCTGTGTATTTATGTTTCAACTGTATATGTGCATGTTTAGATACAGTACATGTGCATGTGTGTACAGTATACAGTATTTGCCTGTGTATGTTTATGTACTGTATATGTGTATGTATAATACATATGCATGTTTATGTACAGTATATGTGTATGTGCATGGTTACGCCATGTCTAGTTGTAACCCTGCTTTACATCTTGTGCTTTTAGGATGGGCTCTGGACTGCTATGATCATGAAATAAGCAGATTTCAGGGGAATTATTAATGAACATTGTTACACAACATTCATGTGAGGATGAGTTGATGCTTTACGGAAACATTGTAACTCAAAGCATGGGAAAATAAGAAGTGCTATAGTGCATGATTCTTGTCTTAGAATAAGGAATTATTTAAAGAAATAATGCAACAGTGCAGGATAATTCTTGGTTTCATTCCAGAATGAATCAAGGAAATAAAACTTCTCTTTAAGCCTGACTGTACCGTAGACATTTTGTGAGTAGCATGCCAGCAGCCGAAATACGTGACAGAATAGGCAGAGATCTGAGAAACTGAATTAAGGTGAACTTTTCTACAAGCCCAAATTGGAATTTAGCTAGCGCGCTAGGCTGAACTCTTGTGCTATGGGATATTTAATAACTAAGCTATCCGGATCTTTATTCATCATCTCATTTGAGGAACAGTACCTCCTACAGCACAGTGTCCCCACTCACCATACTGGGACACTGGTTTGCTCATTCTTGTCCAGATGGAAAAGTACCACCTACCGATCCACCAACAGTACTTACAGCAGCAACTCGGTCCCACCGTCCCGTCCAGTACTAACCAGGCCCAGTCTTGTTTAGACCCCGAGATATGACAAAATCAGACTACAAGGTGGAAATGCTGCAGAAATCACACACTTTGGAGGACCAAAATGGTATCTCCATGCTACTACACTCCTCACTTAAACATCAGATGCCTGGTCAGGCAGTGCAGCCCTAATTAATTCCAAAATTAATTAAAAGGTGAGGGCTGGTGCTGTTGTCTCACAGCTCTTGGGTTCTGGGTTTGCTGTTCTGAATTCTTAACAAACTGTTCCAGTTCCAGAAAAGGAAACGGCAGCTTCTCTAAACTGTGCAGGTTGAAAACTTTTTTCCACTGCAGGGCCTTAAATTAATAGTTTCAAATTGCACATGAGGGTTTAGCAAGGGAACAAATTAACCCCAATGCAGTGTAAATGCTCAGCTCAATTCAGCAGTCAGACAGAGACAGCATTTTCCCAGTTTAACAGCTTGCATGTGAACCAGACTGCACTTAAAAATACTGTAGCATTAGATTTACATTAATGTCACTAAAGGCTCTAGCGAAGAAATGTCATTTTACCCTCTACCTCTTTGGAATGGCATATTTCTAAAGGCACTTAGAGAAACGTAATTATTAACAGAGTAAATCAAGCTATTGTGTCCAAAGTACCGAATTTCAGCTCATTATTGAGTTATTTGTTGTTTGTTTGGAGGGGAGATGTGGTGGTGGTAAACATTGTGTACTTTTAACCGTGTATGATTTTTTAAATGTATTCTATAGTCTTAGAATTTGCTTCGGCAAATTATGATTAATTTTATTAAGACCTCATTCTTGGAAAATTCACATTTCCGGAGGGTGAAGCAATGCAGCGAAAGTTTAAAAACCCTCCCTTCAATAAGGAGAAGCATTCCTAACAGGCGACAGAAATTCGACTCTGCACAACATAAAATACAATAAAAACGCGAGAAAAATGAACGGAAAAGTTTTAGTGGTGTTAAGCGTTCTTGCATATCGTGCAGTATTTGGCAATGGTAAGTGTTACTTTCACTCTTTGGAAGAACGTATTAAATTTTAATCACTAAAACTGTGCGTTCATGGCACTCCAGGTTTAGTGCGTTTGGAAACTGGGAAGTAACCTATATACCTAAGACTCAAAACCGCAATTATTTTGTGGACAAACATGTTTTGGCCCAGATGCAAATGCCACATCGTTTTCGTTCTTCATTGAGAGCAACTAAATATGTCTTTCATTGTAGTAACTACTGTAGTTACATTTCCATTTGACAGTACACAGGTATTAATATTATTTGTTTGAAAGAAACAAGGAATCCCTTGCAAAACTGTTAAAAATGTACTAAATCCATCCTAACCTATGTATTTATCCCTGCAGCATTGGAATTGGCGATTCGGTGCAAATGCCCTAATACAATTTCGGACTTCATCCCTATCGGGAAAATAGCCCATGTCAAAATTCACCCTGAAGGTCCGCATTGTGGCGCCGTTGAAGTCATGTAAGTTTAAACGAGGCAGGTTTTTACGTGTGTGTGCGCAGGATTTAACAACTTCAAACGAGGCACTAAAGTTAATGAAATTATTAAAATGAATTGTAAAAAAGAAATTCTGATGTTATTGCTGTTGACAGCTATTGACTTTAAAAAGTGGACACCGTGAATTAGTAAAGAAGTTCACGTGAGTCTGGAAGGAACAATTATCAGCTACTGGATGGTCGAATTACATTGGCAGCTTCATCTTCTTAAAAATACAGTATATATTAACATACTGATGTTTGTTATTTCAGTGCGCTTCTGCACACAGGTCACGAGGTCTGTTTAGACCCTGAAGCTAGGTGGGTGAAGAGAATCATTAAAAGGTATCAGCAGAGGTATGACATTTTTTAATTTGACAACATTTCAAGCTGTTCTAATAACATTTTAAAGTTAAGCATTTAGTATTGTGGAATGCTAACACTGATATTTGTAGGCGGTACTGTATGTGATTGTTCTTTTCACGAACGACTTTATGCCCAAAGTATTATTATTATTATTATTATTATTATTATTATTATTATTATTATTATTATTATTATTATTTCTTTCTTTTTTTTCAGTGAAACGGGGAACAACTGAGGACCACCTACTCTACATGCATTTTCAAGGCCAGGAAGAAAAGGTCCTGCATATAAGAGCATATACTGTATTTTTAATCCCGAGTTCTTATCCATTCCTGTTAAAAGCAGTGAACTGCTAAGGGCTGAGCTAAGGAAATGTACTCTTTTAGTGGCTTCAGCTGCTGCTGTAATGTGAGATGAAGAGGACTTGTCATAACGTGATTAATAATTCTGAAAGTGTGGCAGTTAATTTATGGTGATCTAGTTGCTCAGAATTGGTCGAATTAGTTGACTGTCATATTACAACGCTTTTCTGTATGATTAACCCATCGTTGACTAACTTGTTTGTGTGTTTGTAATGTACTATAAACTGTATATCTGTTTTGCATAGTGTACTGGCGTTTCATGAGCTGTGGAGCCTTAAACGGGTAATTCTGTACTTTCTATTGCAGAGGATAAGTGTTTTGCATAAAAATGTGACAATTGTTACCTGTAACTCAAGGGTATTTCTTATTGTATTGTTTCTAAATGACTCACCAGCAGGAAAGATTGTTGTGATGGTACTTTCATTGGGTATTTTTATGACTTTTTTGAGACAGCATTATTTTGCAGTGTTATGTAATGCGACCTGTAGCTTGTTTGTGATCAAATGACACGGATGAATAAAAAAATGATTTGACTAAACAAAATCTTAATATGATTCATTCATGTCAGTGTGACTTCATTCTTTTGAGTACAAATAACTGCAGACTTTCACTACTTCTTATCTGTTGGAAATAATAGTGCCTTAAATTTAATTCTGGTTTTGAGACAACAATACTGTACAATCACCTTTGTCTCAGAGTGATTTATAAGCCTACTATATCTATGCTTAAGATTTTTAAAGTGTTAGAATGTTCACCCATCTTTCACTATTCCTCTCTCCACACATGCTACTGAAATTTACCCAGGTACTTTTTCAGAATTCTGCAACACACAGTACAATACCGCACCCCAGTCCAATGTGGACATTAAGCAGGGCAGTTTGGAGATCACCAAGAACATTTTCCACATACATGGAAAGACGTACTGTTCTGCTCTTATTTCATACAGTGCAATGCATATCTTAAATAACAGCAGTTCAACCGAATTCAAAGGAAACCCCTGGGTGTTTCTGTAAGTGGTGTTGGTGGACCAGTAGGTGGTTCTCTTCTGTCTGAAGGACACTTTCTAATTTCACAATTAAAAACACTCAATCTCTTCCAGAATTCTTGTTTAGTTTTGAAGTTCTGTCTGAATACCTTGTTGTTTCAATCTAGGGGTTGTATTGTTAATCTAATCACAAAATAAACAATATACATCTCTTTGCTAATCACAGGTTTTTACCTTTGATACATCCTCTCACTGTTCAAAGTTCTGTTTTTAAAGTCCTTTTCTCCCAGGCATCAGAGGGAGAGCCTGCTCTCTTTTTTTATTTTCCATTAGTTTTGGTTAAAAAACAAATTATTGAATTAAACTTTGCAACTGACACATTATACATTTCAACTGATACCATACAATGGCATTGCTGTGCTTATATAAAAGAAAGACATTCTAACATGGATTAGAACATTTTTTCTGACATGAATTGTGCCATTTAATTTCTCACTGGTAGATAAAACAAGGAGCACATTCCCATAACTTGATTTATTATTTTATTTGCTTTATTAGCTGCTTTACCTTACTACTGTATACTGTATATTTGCCTCTGCGATTGGTGCTGATTTTTCTATTCAACGAGACAACCTTCAACAGTCAGGTGATAAGAAAAGAAACTAATAAAACAATGAAGGGGATTGCCTTATTCTCCAAGAAGCCTTGAACAATGAGCGAGGTCACAGTCGGGTGCAGTAAAGCTGTTGCAATAAGAAGCCTGTACGTCTATAAATAAACAACAAAAAAGACCAAGCAGAATTATGATGGAACAAGCATTATTATAACCAGTGATAGGTTAAAAAAAGAAGAAGAAAGAAAACACAAAACGTTTCGGCCGTGGAGGTGTGAGCACACCTGAAGAAGGCTCCACGGCCGAAACGTTGTGTTTTCTTTCTTCTTTTTTTCAGCACGGAATAAACCTATTACTTGTTCCTTTGCAGCCTACGCATGCTGACGCAGCTACCCACCTGAACTATTATTTTAACAATATAAGTTTAAAAGTGTTGTTAAGACCAATAAAGTGTTTAAACTACCAGTTTTAGACATGTTTTTTTTATTTTCTATAGGGTTTGTTCACCACACAACATGTTGTTTTGTTAATATTATGAATGTGTTTAATATATTTTTTTAGACATAAAATGAGAGTGAAGGATCTACCTTTCTAGATCTATGTTCAGCCCTACACAGTAAATCTATCAAATACAGACATTGTATTGAATGATTAACTACACAGCTGTATTGATACCTTTTTTTTTTTTGACACAATATTAGCAATTGATTATGTTTTCATGTTTCATTTTTGATGGATGGCAGCGGGGTGTGGCACTTATGAAGTCTGCCTCAGAGCTCTTGGGTCCTGGGTTTGATTCGAGTTTGGAAAGCTTTTTGTATGCAGTGTCCGTGTTCTCTCCGTATTCCTGGTTGTCACTGCACACTTTGCTTTCCTCCCACAGTCTAAAGACGCACTGTCTAGATTAATTGGCATGTCTATGTTGTCCCCTATAGGTGTGAGTATTGAACCTCCATAGGACTACATACCTATGGAAAATGAATAATAATTATAATAATAATTATATATAATAAATATAATAATACAGTTATATAGCCCTTTTCTGGACAATCCACTCAAAGCGCTTTACAGGTAATGGGGACTCCCCTCCACCACCACCAATGAGCAGCATCCACCTGGATGATGCGACGGCAGCCATAGTGCGCCAGAACGCTCAGCAAACACCAGCTATTAGTGGGGAGGAAAGCAGAGTAATGTAACCAATTCATAGAGAGGGATAGTTAGGAGCTGATGATTGGTAATGGCCAATGGGAAATTTGGCCAGGACGTCGGGGTTACACCCTTACTCTTTTCGAGAAACACCCTGGGATTTTTAATAACCACAGAGAGTCAGGACCTCGGTTTCACGTCTCTTCTGAAGGACAGCACCTGTTTACAGTATAGTGTCCCCATCAGTAACTTGGGGCATTAGGACCCACATGGACCGCAGGGTGAGCACCCCCTGCTGGCCCCACTAACACCTCTTCCAGAAGCAACCTTAGTTTTTCCCAGGAGGTCTCCATCCAGGTACTGACCAGGCTCACCTGCTGAGCTTCAGTGGGCTGCCAGTTGTGAGTTGCAGAGTGATATGGCTGCTGACAATAGATGGATCAGTATTGAATTTTTTCAATTTACAGTATGTACTGTAAGTCTCTTGGGAAGAAAGTGTTAGCTTAATAAAAAAACGATAAATTTCTCACACTTCTTTGTACAAAAGGCAATGGGAGACTAGAAAAAGTTAACCAGCCATGACCGTTTTGAAACTGACACCCAAGGATCCTTAAAGGAACATCCCTGTGGGATTCTTTGATCCATTAGCTGCTAATAGTAAAATAAGCTTGATGGGCTGCTCTCCTGCCATTTTAAGCAATTAACAAATTCTGTTACAAAGCATGAAAGATTGATCCAAAGTTTCTTCACATTGACAGCAATTATAGATAAATTGCCAAATGTGTAGTCTGTGGGTATTGGAAAGAGCCCAGCTGATTCACTGTTCTCCGTCATTACCGGGATTGTTGGCAGATATCCTTATATAAGACATGCACTATTCTGAAATTGGAAGTGTAATCCTGATGCACAGAAAATAAAGGCATAAGGAGCACATGAATGAAACAAGAAATAAGATGGAGAAGAAGATTGCTTTTGTGCTTTTTGCCACCATTTGTGCTGTAGTAACAGAAGGTATGTATTTTTAGCCTTTGAAAACTTTTAAAAAAATGTTCCTCTGTTCTGTCATAGCCCTGTATACAGTAGCAAAATTACAGTCAGGTTCATTTTATTCTAATTGATGTGAGGAAGGAAATGTGATAAGGAGCTCAACCAAGTTAGAACATTTTCTTTTGCCATGCATTGGTAAGCTGTTTCCAATTTATATGCAGATAAAGGATACAAAAATGAAGATCTGGTGAATTAAACATTCCATTAACTTTGAATTAAGTAATTCAATTTCTGGCACAAATTACGCCACAATGTGTTTTTACCATATTCAAAAGGATATAACTGCATACAGTTATTCTGTTATACTAAAACTCAATGCAAACGTATTGGAGAAATACATGTGTTAAGATCAGAATCTATGGATCCTGGATCCTGTCTATGGATCCTGTCTGTGTGAGTGGTTTAAGAAAAGACCCTTGAAACCTTGTTCCAAGAATTCTACTGTATGTTTTGATTATTTTTTTCTGATGTTTTTTTAAGAATTAACTGTCAAATTTATTTTTGTTTTCTTAAATAAAGAACGTTAGTCTTAATGAAACTACTTATAGACTCCAAGCAGCACAGTTTGGTCCAGTTTGGTAATACGTACCAGCATGAGAAGTTCATTTGCAATGCACAAATCATAAGTTTTATGCTTTGTTTGCTGAAAGCTAAAGACTTAAGAGTAAGTTCTGGTGTGATCAGATAACAGAAATTTAAACTAAATGTCCAGTGAGCCAATGAAGCCTGCACTGCTGTTGTTATCTAGTATAAGGAGTACAGGCATTTGCTGTGAAATTTTAACCCCCAAAACTAAAGTATCAAATTAATATTATTTCTATATTCAGTATACTTCATGCTCTATTTTTTAGTGTGCTGATTTCAGGAATCCTCACTGTCTAATGTTCCTCCTTTCAATGTTTTCCTTAATTATCTCAAAGACATGACCAACAATAACAAACATAGTTCCTTGTTTTAAAGCTGCTCAAGTAGTCCTTCACCTTGTGTTTACTTGGAACACATAAATACTGTATACAGTATCCCTTGCTTGTTTTGTGTGTGACACTTTAGGTCAGTTTTATTTCACATTTCTAGTTTTAAAGAGGTTTCTTGGAGCCACTTTAGTCTTAACACTTTGATTTCTAGCATGAGATTTGCAAAAGCATCTCCTCTTTCTTGCTTCTCTTCTTCTGCAGGTGTCCTAGTCAGAGCAGGAGAGGCTTTCCGATGTCAGTGCCTGAAGACTGTCTCACAGTTTATCAACCCCAAGCGTCTTGTTGACATCGACATAATTAATTCAGGAGTGCACTGCAAGAGGGTAGAAGTCATGTGAGTTTTTTTCAGATTAATTTGACCGCTTTTTAAGGAATGTTATGTCTTATTTTCACAGGTTGAAAATATTAATTATGAGGGTTTTTGTTCATTTTGTTTTCACAGAGTGACACTTAAATCAGGACACAAAGTCTGTGTGGATCCCGAAGCCAAATGGGTGAAGATGATTATTGAAAGACTCCTGAAGAAATAAAGATGCCCTGTTTACATTTTCTTCTTGATGTTTGTTAAAGCGATCGGAGGGCATTTTACAAAAGATTTTAATTGAAAAATTCTTAACATGCTTTTGCACATTGTTCCACTTTCTAAAATACTGCTAGATTCCTCTTCATTACAAACATTAAAGTGTCTTTAGTGGAATTGGATCCGCTAATTAGGTCCATTATACATTATGTATGGAAACCCCTCACTGATTGAAAACACTTATTATTGTCATTTCAATGTTTGAATAATTTCAAACATTAACATGTAAGATTGTTTGCACCAGAATTTAAAATTTTGACTTTTTTAATAAAACCTCAGTATACTTTTACTCACAATTTAGTGTCATTTGTCAATGTGGTCTGTACTACCTCAAACACTAAACATTAATATGGTACAGTATACAGTATTTTGCATTTATGATAATTGCATTTGGTGATTTTTGTTGATTTTATGATGAAAGCCTTCCACATTTCATTACAATTGGATGATGACAATTAACCTGTCAATCAAGAATCAAAGCAGAATAGGTTTTGTATCTTTACTCCTGGAATACCATTAGTTAATCTTCATGAGAATTTAGTGAGATTTTTTTTTGTGGGCAAGAGATTGTACACTGGGCTTTCCAACATTCCTTTCCTTTGACAGTGACCTGTAGTTTTAGCCCAGAAACCACAAGTTGGGATTAAGCTGGCATGACATGCTGCATGAGAACAATTGTATGAGTCTGATTGAATGGTCTTTGCTGCTTTTGAAATATATAATTTATTTTCGTCATCTTTTGCGAAATTCCTGCAAACAATATGATGCTTACTAGCAAATGAGTAAACAGAACACCTCTAACTCTCCCCCTGGTCAGTCTACTTCACATTTCAGTTGCCTTTAATTTCAACTGAAGCATTCAAAAGCCTTAAAGGCAGTGACAAGTGAATTTCATGGACTTCCTCTGAAACTGCTGGACCAGATCCTCAGATCCGTTAACTGCTACAGATCAAACAATCTAATTAAAATGACTTGCCTCTTCTCATTTTCAGACTTATGTACATTCTTGTTTGTGCCATGTGTGTAAATGGTTGTCAAGACTTTTAATACAATGTATTTATAAAAAGTAGAATAATCATACTATTACAGGTAGTGGACATGGCTATTGAAAGGGTCTTAAGAATTTAGAGATAATAATGAACACCAGGATAGTGTCATCATGTGTTGTTTTTAGAAGCTTCAAAACAAGAAAGGAACTGGGGTGTTTCTTGAGTGCTGGAGGGTCTGAGACACACTGATCAAAGGAACTGTCAGATTCACCTTGGTTAATTAAGTTCTGGTTAAATAATTAAGAGTCACCAACATTTGAGGAGCAGAGAACAAGAGCAGGCAGGTAAACAGAGAGAAGGACATGAGAGTGGAGGAGCAGAGAGAGAGTACACAGGAGAAAGAGGAAAGTGTGTGCGAGACAAGAGCTCCTTGTCAAGATCATCCATAAAAACCATATTCTAGTTAGGTATTTGAACCTTTTTAAGAGAGCCTGCCATTCTGTTATTTACAGAAAACTCAGTTTTCCTGTATAGAGAATGCGTAGGGTAAAAACAACCTCTCCTGGTAAGTGGATGCATTTTTTAGAATAGGGAAGTAAAGGATTTTGCTTGGGTTACTTGTCTGACTGCTTCACATGGTTCTCTCTTTTAAGTTTTCACAACACTGTGCTGTCAAGCCACCTCTCCACTCTCACCTCTGTTTACAGAATTGCATCCACACTTTCTCTCCCCTCTGGAATGGCCAATTCCAAGTTATGCTCTTGGCAATAGCCAAAACTGAGTGAAGGTGAGATTCCCACTTTTGTGATGGACAGTCACTTCCTTTTTTCAGCAAATAATCAATTAATGATACATTACAAACTATTGTGCTCCTAGAAAATAATGACTTGTCCAACCACAACATACATTGCAGTCACCACATTCCACATTCCATTCTTTGAAGCACATCTGGAGTTTATTGTGGTCTTCCTCAAGCATTACTCCAAAAAGGAACATGACTTGTAAAGGGATTGCAAAATTGCCAACGACGAGGGCTTAATCATGATTTAGGTTGAATGTACTTATTTGTTTCACAACGGTTTACCGTAACTGTCATCTGACTTGATTTTAATTATTGAGGTAATCATTTTGATTGACGATTCCCACCTCCTGGATTGATGTTGTTTTCTCAGACTAGTCAAGTATAACATCTTTGAAGAGTCAAAGAGACAAAAGCATGAACTACAATTTCAGCTTGCAATAGGCCTTGAAACATAGCCAAGGTAACATCTGTAAAGAAGGATAAGAAGGATGTTATAGTGTTTTTGTGTACCTCGATTTCCTCAGACTGTTCTCTTTTCAGACACAAAATCAAACTGTGTCCCATCAATAACCACTTTCAATTTATAAAGCTGAAGATTTATACGGCTCATGATTTTATTCATTATTTTTGCTTTAGAGTCAAACATTTTTTATTTGGGATTATAAAAAGCACAATAACAAAGTACAATATAATACATTTGTAAGGCATACTTTTGATAATGTTACAACAAAAACATACCATCATAAACCTAATACTTTAAAGAGATCAAAAGTATTTGGACTCTTGAAATACTTTAAAATACTATAAAAATCAGTATTTGATTTCATATCCCTTTGAATATTTTCAAGTCTGTGATCCACTGAACTGACCCACACTTTGTGATGTTTGCTACAGCCACTCTAAATGTCTAAATTCTATATTTTTGGGGGAGGTATGACTTCATTTCTTTTCTTCAGCATGTCAATTTCTTGCTCAGTTCATTTTAAATTCAGAGATGGATTTTTCACTTTCTTTTCTTTCCTGATGAACTCTGTGATTGTATGGGTTGTATGATTTGGGTCATTATCAAGCAGAACAATGAAGCTATTCAGTTTCTTTGATATTGAATTCTCAGTATTTTTGAATAAAACACGCTGCAAGATTTGCTCCTTTCATTAGTAACATCTCCTTCCAGTGTCTTATATGGGAAATATGAGGACAAACAAGGAGGATAGATTTCTCTATAATAGCATAATATTTCTGTACTGATGCCAACACTTTGAAAAAGGTGACAGGTCCTGTGAAGAAGAACAGACCTCCAAATATTAAAAAATGCATAGACCCTTGCTAAATGACTAAGCTACTAACATTTTTCTAAAGATTACAAAATAATACTAATGTTTCTATAATCATTCTGACTCTCAATTACTCCATCTTTGCTATTTTATCAACTGAAGCCTGATAACAATATGCTAATTATGAAACTAAAAAGGATCTACAATAAATCAACTTATTAAATAAAATTAGATGATAAAATTAAATAATAAATCAATTATGATATTTGATGGGTTTTTTTTAACTTCACCTTCCATAAAAACTGAAGTGCATGTAATTGTATTCGGTATCTGACAGATGAATCTGGTAATTAAAATGCTTAATTACTGCCAGATGGTTTGCTAATCTCATGCATATGAACTTATATAGAGTATTTGTTGTAGAATATTTAATATTAAATATTACAAATCAATGGACATAAAGGGGGTAGTCGTTTGCTGTCAGATTCAATTCACAGCCAGTCTGCTTATGATATTACTAATTTAACAAATCGTAATATTGAGTCAGTAAAGCTGAAAATACACCACTTCTACATAAAGCCATCTCTTAAAGGACTTTTTAAAAATGTCCTGTGATTCGTAGATACAAGTCTCTGTAAATGAACTCCAGAGCAATGAGTCCATGAAAAATAAATCTAATCTTTCTGCTTTTTCTAATTTAATCATTAAATGTCAGCCTCCTTCTTGTCCAAACGTGTGGGATAAGGTTGTTCTTGCATTTGTTCTAGAGAAAGATATTAGAAAAGAAATGTTTAACTCTTTTCTTGCCCGAAGAGCTGTATGTTCTCTTTTAGGGTTGCCTCATTGTTGAGAGCTCAGGGTTAGTGTTGTTCTTTAATTTTGAAATGCTTTCAAAATCTTGCCTTCTTGAGCCTTGGGGCTCTGTAAAATGCATTTACAGTGCCATTTCTGATTAGGATCAAAGAGACTGGCACCATTTGATCATGTTCAAATATGACAGTGTGAATACTGCTGTGTTCCATCAAATGTTTTAGAACATGTGACGCTGATCAGAAACGTCAGTGTAAATGTGCTGTTTATAATTAAACTTCAAACATCAACACAACTTTTCAGAGAAGCCGGTGTTTTTCCTTTCTTCTCTTTTCAGCAGGGAATAAACCTTTACTTGCTCCTTCGCAGCCTATACATGCTGACACAGCTACAGTACCTACTTGAACTATCTCATAATTATAAACATTAAGTACTTGACTGGACACAAAAATAATAGCCCCAATACTTTTCAGGGCCCAATACTTTTCTGTACATGCATATTGTAAATAGAGTGATAAGTTTCTTGTGGGGTTCAGTGCATCATGCTCATATTTCATTTCATAGCAGTAAAACAAGGCACACAGAGTATATAGAGTATATGTTATGCCTTTTTGTGGGTACACAATACACCAGGTGCCTTAAATTTCAAATTATTAAATTTAAGGGATGAAGCCTTTCTTTTCCTGAATAAGAAGAAATAGAACAATGAAAGAATTGTGCACTGCATTAGTAATTGTGTTATATTATCTTATTTCCTGTATTTCATCATACTGGAGATCAACAGGCTTTGTTGTAAGCTTAGAGTTAATCATTTCTTTGCTTTTGGATTAAAGTGTTAACGTTCTCATGCCTTATGAAAGTCAATACTTGTAGTTTAAAGTTCCTGCCTTATTATTTTCTCTTTAGCTCATTCTGAAGACCTTCAGAGTTTAGCATTATTAAAATGGATGTAAATATCTATATTTCGCTAAAATGTATTTATCCTGTAATGTAAATGTAAAAGTGGGAATCACCAATAAATGGCCATCACCAAAGTTCAAGCATTTTCTTTATATAAATAATCCCAAAATGTGCTTGTACAAAGGAAGGATGCATATACTGTAATTACAAAAAAGACAATTTTGACACTTCCAAGTAGCTCAATTGCCTGGAGCAGGTGTTGAATTATGGGAAGCAGACACCGGATGCTGCAGTCATCTATGTCATGAGTCAGCTTTCCCCCAGCATCGGAATGAAGGGCATTAGTCGACTGGGATTTCTCAGCTTTCAGTGCAGCAG